AACCACTAAAAAATAGCTAATTATCATGTAAATTAGGTAATTAATATGCACGGATTTTTACCAAAAATTAATCAAATCTGCGCATATGTTCAGAGCATCTATGTACCAAGTTTCATCAAAATCCAATGAGTGGTTCTTTAGATATCAGTGGAACAGTCATAGAACAGCTAAAAATTAGCTAATTATCATGCAAATTAGGTAATTAACGAGCATGGATTTTTACCAAAACCTAATCAAATCTGCGTATTGGCCCAGAGCATCTATGCACCAAGTTTCATCAAAAACCGATGTATGGTTCTTGAGATAGCAGTGGAACAGTCGGACACACATACACACATACACACACACATACACACATACAGACACACTAACTGCAAAGACTCCCATTTTGTGCTTCGCACATGGGAGTCAAAAACAGAAGAGCTATTTCGACCATTATGGTAGGTCGCTTGTTTTAAATCCACTTAATACAGATTCAAAAATACTTCTGTGGTCCCAAATATAAACATGTCATGTCACATTTATGATACATGTACCATTGCTGGAAATGAATTACTGTAAAACATGTTCTTTTTGCGAGCATGTCTTTTTAGTGAATTTAGCAAGAGAACTGATTTGCTAATTCAAGGTGTCGCTAATGACTTTATTATAAATTCAAAATGGCCAAGGCTTGGGGATTTGTATACAGTAATCCGGAACACAAAAATCTGGGGCGCTTCCTAATTCACTTGACAGTTTTTCTTTGTTTTTATCAAGGTGATAACTGCGCATTTGTTTTGGCACGCGACATAAGTATTGTGAAAACAGAAAATTAACAATGACAAGAGAGATTCGCTCAATCAACATTTTGCCATTACGTCATTTTACCACAATTCGCTAAAATTGCATGTCGCTTTTTCAACATGTTTTACAGTATCCCTTTTAACAAGTAGTATTCTACCATCTGTCTAGGTGTTTATATGTGAATAACATCCCATTAATTAAATCATGTGGTACCACAAATGTCATTTTGTATGAATTAAAGGAATTGTTAGAAAAACAGAATGTGGCTCTTCAACGGGTTACGAAATCTTGCACCTTGGCTTCAACCCAAGAGAAGACTGGGCAAACAATATAAAGCACCCATAAAGCTCCATAAATGTAGAATGCAATTTATGGATTTTCTAGATATTTCAACTTTTTATCAGTATTAGAGGTCATTAGGGGCTGGAAGATCTGGGTGGGGGCTTGTAGTTTCACCTTCATCAGTGCATCCGGAATGATTTCTCGGAGATGGCTGGACTGATTTTTTTGAAACTTGATTCAAAGACATAGTGGTTAACCATACACGTGCACGTCAATTTATTTTCCGATTTGATAAAATATGGCCGACTGGCGGCCATTTTTAATGCCAAAATTCAGTCAAATTCTGTCCATTGATATTTCTCAGAGATGTCTTGACTGATTTCAATGATACTAGGTACAAAGACAGTGAGGAGGTATACATATTCACATAAATTTATTTCCCGATTTGATAAAATATGGCTGCTTTGCAGCCATTTTGAATGTCAAAATCTTTCTACTTAATTTTATACATATACATTCAAACTTTATAATTCATAGCCAACTATAATCATATCTGACAAGTGGGGGCAGTGTCATCTTCAGACATTGGAATTGACATACATGTCAACCAGAAATGACCAATTTGTTTGCCCTTGTATGATAAACCAGTTACTTTTTTAATTTAAGTGGATAAACCAAAGAACACACAGCACTGACAAGGTAGATTACTTCCTGCCCATGGTGCATTGCTAAGACCTTTAAAGGATAATGCATCGGTTCACACAAGAGCTGCAGGCCCAAGTGGGGATCAAATACGAGAACTACCGGTAATACAGAACACAAGGTTATCAATCACATCTGGAGATAGTTCTGGCCAATCAATTTACTGTGTTGGTACAAATATTCCCATATATTCCCATGCTTTGTTTCAACTATTCACTAAATTTTTCCATATAAACTGATGAATATTTACAAGTACACTATGAACATGACAAGATTTGAGAGCCAGACAATTCTAGCTAGATCTATGAGCTTTGAGTTGAGAGTTTGAAACCCAGGCAGGCTTTGGGTGATGTTTCCAGTTATGTACAATGTAAAAAGACTGTCTCTAAAAATGTCATCACTCTTTTCTAGAAGGCCCTCTAGCGGGTGGGAAATATCTGTGTAATGCCCAGTACTGGGACAATCAAGATAATGCCCCAGAAGAAAAAGATTTGGATCACATGTAGCATTATAAGGTACTTGTGAACAGGGAAGGGAATTCCTTTTATCTAAAGCAATGTACAGTATTGTGCACACTTTGCAACATATACAAGCTACCATACTCAAAGAGGAGTACTGAGGGAATTTGTTTTAGCCAATATTTTGTGTTTTCAAAAATACCAGAAGCAATGTTTTAGGTGATAAAAAGTAAAATACTGATCAAATGTTTTGAAAACTCACTTTATTCTGATAAATAACAGAACACCAAATACTATTTGAAACTCCAAACCATGGTGATATATTGATAACTGAATTATGATAAAATTGAAGACTTAGAAACAAGATTATACAGGTCACTTTACTGTGACTTTCAGTCAGTAGATACAGCAAACAAGACAAGCAATTATGTGTATAGAATTAGTGTGAATCCCATTCTCTCTTCTCTTTCCATTCTTCTAAGACTTGTTGAACCAGTTCATTCAGATAAGGTTTATCCTACACAAGGGAAACAGAAGGTTATGATTTAGGCGAAAGACACTAAAGGAAAATCATCTTTAAAACTGACAAAAAATTAATTATTTGTAACAACTTTTTTAATGCAAAATATCAGAAGAACAAGCCCTATAGTTTTTGTGTATATCTACACACTTTCATGTGCTTTTCTGGCCACTTATACGATATTTGCACACATGTTTGTTTCTAGTTCATTTTTTCAATTCCAATGCAATTTGAGCAGCTGCCAAAGTTAATTTCGTGAAAACAAGCCTTTCATTTGTGAACGATATTTGTTCACGGTGATGAGGTGAACATAAAATAGCATGTTTCTGTCAACACCATAATGTTCTGAACACAAAAACTGTTTTCCTTTTGAGAACATGTTGGGCTGAAAGACGCATTTCTTTTTCAACTAATTTCATTGTCTATATATTGACAAAGTTATCAAAAAAATAAAATAAATATATGTAAATGCATGTACGCAACCAGTCACAATCTAGTAAACAAGAGCATGTATTACACTACATAGAAGTGTTGTTGTCAATCAGTTATGCTCCTAACACGCTCTGTTATTATCAATATAGCAAGATTTTGTTTCAAAGATTAATTTGAAAATAGCTGAACATTAGTTATTGTACTACAAGGTTTATCCTCTCACTGCTCATACTTCTTGAACAATACATAAACTTGTCACAGTATTCAAAACTTACATCTTCGAATTTTGTCCACTGATCCTGTGGTAGGACTCTATGTTTTAATGATAAATCTAATGCTCTTTTAATGCGGAACTGCCTGTCATCATACACATCTGGGGGTAAACGTCTAACAGCTTCTTTCACTTCTGGTAATGACTCTCTGACGAGATCATCTGACATCAAACCTAGGAGCAAACAAAACAGATATTTTAATAGACCTTAAATGAAATCAGTGTTCTTTGTTTCCATCCATTTTGTAGAAGTTGATCTGTAGAGAACTTTATTACAAATATATGGCTTTAGCAAATTAGAATGGCTTTGTATTATGCTTTTACATTTCAAATGTATTGATTATCGATGCTTAGGTGCAAAAAACTCTATTCTCTTTTAAAATTCACTTACAAGTGAAATTTAAATAATCTAAAAAACTATACATCTGACACCGAAAACAATAGAATTTAAAACTCCGTAGAGAATTGTTATTTAGAAATTGTGCATCATGTTTATATCACAATCAAACACTTCCCTTTGTTTACTTCAAGCGTAAACGTGTTTTAACGTGTAACCTGAATACTGGGTAGAATCCAACACATTGTGAAACATTTTTGTTGCCATTTGTGGCTGTTATTTCATATTAAATTATTACTATAAGCAGAGAAAAGACATATTATAACAATAAAGTTATCACAAGAATACTGCATGTAGTATGCACTTAAGCTGTATGGAAACGCAGCAATTTTGATTGGAAAACAGCATAATTTTTTTAAAATCAAGAAATTAGTTGTTTTCGAAAGATAAACTGAGCATTAAAATTGAACATTTTTTACAGTGATAACAGCTCATTGTCGAAAGAAAGTTTACCCATTCACGCTTAGCCACAATATTTGATTTTCATATGGAATTAATTTTTGCTGTTTTCGCAAATATACCTTTTTCCTATATTGTACATTTAACTTGTCTGAAATCAGTGAAAATAAACTCCATACAAAACACACAAAAAATCATTTTCAGCGAAAATTAATTGTAGCTAAAATAAAGTATTTTACAGTAGGCGTCAATGACTATGGAAAATGTAAATTAGACTCTAATCTTGGCGACATGAAAGATTTAAGTGTTCGAAAAATGATGCCTTTTCAAGAGATTATACAATACTTTTGTACATCTTGCACTATCTGATGAAATAATAATGGATATCACGATATTACATTATAACCGCATTAGCCTCAAAACAAATGTGGCACTCATCTGACCAAAAGAAAAGCTGTCTGAGGTTTGATCATGTGTACACCGTATTTCATTAAGCCACATGATATGCAAATTTTAAGCTTATAGCTCAAACTCAAGGCGCAACTCAAACTTACCAAGGTAAAACAAGTCATTTGTTTTTCTGTGATCACATTTTATTCGTGACGTTCACAATAGAGATCTTGGGACGTTAGATCAGGGCCGAATTGGCAAGTACCAAAATGTGTGTGTGAATGGTTGGCGCCGAGTCAGCACGTAAAAAAAAAAAAGATTTCAGTCTGATAAATGCTCGGGACCAAAAACACAACACGTACTGAGATTTGCTTCCTGAAGACTCAGTACAAGCCCTCGATGGTGAATTTAAGAGAACATGTACTTATTCATACTAGTATGACACGACGATGAAGGGAAGTACAGTGAACAAATAATTGTTTTTTGAATCTACTTTGCCGTTTATGTGCCTGATGACTAATAATAAATACCTTCACAGCAAATACATGTAATTTCAATATAGCAATTATTATCATCGTCATATGCATATCGTTTCCATGTTTGGCGACTGAGGATGTGATTCTGGCACTAGCCGAGTGGGTCCCGATAATGGAACCTGCGTGAACGCAGCAATTATTTTCAAAAAACAATAAGACCAGTACTGTACTCACCAAGTTGGTTATAACCTGCAGCACTAAAGTACCACTTTCGCATTCCCATCCAGAGTCTGGAAACTGCAATAATAAAAATACATCGCAATTTTAGTGAAGATAAAAAGTAAAATCGTACTTGGCCAATTTTCATTACGCATACGCTGTGTGGCGTGAACCTTGTTTTATGCTCTCTGCACGTAATAAGCTCTGTTATTATGTATCTTTTTTGGGGGATGTTCGGTGGCCGAGGGGGAAGACTGGTTAGTTGACGCTATGCAATTAGGTGCCGTATGCGAGTGCTAGTTTGAGTCATGCATGGAATACGCATTTACTTTGATTTGACGTAGTATTTACCATGCCATTTATTCAGTGTTATTTGCTTACTTTACTTTCTATGTCAGCAGCAACTATGAGTTTACTATTTCCTTATTGTATTGTTACATTCTGTATTATTACTGTAAATATGTATGGGGGAATGCAACGCTGAAAACATGATGAGTATGAGTGATCCACAATAGTCATGACCAGAGTAACAGAGTTGTAATTTATGTTGTGGAAATAGACCAAGTCATTGGGAGGGTGGTTTCATGTATTGTTTCATAATAAAATACACTACAAGTAACCTTGTTTATTTATATCTTCCAAAACAAACCTTTCTAATTAGTGGATTCACAGGATTTATGAATCATGAGATAAAGACGAAATGAAAAATAATTTCCACTTCATTATATCTTATTCAACTTATAATTCAAAAAGACAACATCTATATGAAAAAGCTTCAAAATTCATCTCAGATCATAAAATTTTACATTGCAAATGAAAAACAATGATAATTGTACTGAAGAAATTGCTCCAGTTTTGAGACGTTCAGATAGGCCTATGTTGCATACTGTAATATACAGTTTGAGTAAACAATACATTTTGCCGAAGATACCCACCGCACTCGACCGTGAAAGCGCCCAGGGGCCACAACTCAAATCAAAGAAAGCTTAGAAAGAACTCCCGTGTGCTGAGAGTATTGAAGACACATTAAAAATTAATTCAAAATTACTTGTACATGAGATATTGATAGAAAAGCTGAAAACTAATTATGTACATCAGGTAACTAATATGAACAGAACAGAACAAAAAAATTATGAATTATTATGCTAATTAGAGAATTAATATGAACAAATTTTAACTCAAAATTAATCAGGCCTGTCTATTGTCCTAGAGCATTTATGTACCAAATTTTATTCAAATGTGATGATCAGTAATTGAGATATCAGTGTTTATTAATTATGTTAATTAGGAGATTAATAAGCATAAATATTTACCAAAAACTAATTGGGTTTCTGCATAGTTCTCTTTAAAAGTTTCATTAAAATCCAATTTGTGGTTCTTTATATATCAGTGGAACATTATGCAAATTAGGTAATTAATATCCAATTAAAACTAATTAGGACTCTGCATAATCCTAGAAGATCTATGTAGCAAGTCTCATTGAAATATGATGAGTACTACTTGATATATCAAAAGCTGAAAATTAATTAATTATGCAAATTAGATAATTAATATGTACTCATATTACCCTAAAAACTATCAGGTTTGTGCAGTGTCCTATGACATCTATGTACCAAGTGTCATTGAAATGTGATGATTACTACTTGAAATATCAAAAGCTGAAAATTAATTAATTATGCAAATTAGCTAATTAATATATACTGATATTAGCCTAAAACTATCAGGTCTGTGCAGTGTCCTATGATGTCTATGTACCAAATTTCATTGAAATGTGATGATTACTACTTGAAATATCAAAAGCTGAAAATTAATTAATTATGCTAATTAGGTAATTAATATCTACTGATATTACCCAAAAAACTTTCAGGTTTGTGCAGTGTCCTATGACATCTATGTACCAAGTTTTATTGAAATGTGATGATTAGTACTTGAGATATCAGTGGAAAAGCCGAAAATTGATTAATCATTATGCAAATTAGGTAATTAATATTGCAGTTTTTTACTCAAAACTAATCAAATCTGCGCATTAGTTTGGAGCATCTGTGTGCCAAGTTTCATCAAAATCCAATGAGTGGTTCTTTAGATATCAGTGGAACAGTCATGAAACAGCCAAAAATCAGCTAATTATCATGCAAATTTGGTAATTAATATGTAACACAATGCGAAAGTGAAATATCGATGTCGAAGTATGATCTGTTGAAATTGATTTCAGCGAATAAACGACATGGTTTTTCAAAAAAAATGGTAACTGGTCATTTTTGAGAGGTAAACTGAATATGGCATGAAATATTTACCACATTTTACTTGTATTAACAGGTCATTGTCGAAGCGTAGTTTACGGTTGGTTACCATGGTCTACGCATTTACAACATATTCACAGTGATCGATATCCACGCTGTATCATATAAAAACGATTACCAAGATTCGTAACGCAAGACCAAGTTTTAAATTAGTTGCATTTTGAAAGGGTGGGCGCTTTGCCAAATGTGACCCTGAATATAAAAATTGCTCAAAAATTGGGGGGTGGGCGCTTGCCTGGGCATGGGCGCTAACACGGTCGAGTACAGTACTATCAAGGCACATTACTTAAAATGACATTTATCACCAATTATCTATCTATTGAAATTTCCTTTTAATATGTAAATTTAACTTCTAGATTACGCATGAAAATGTATTACAGCTAATGTAACAATGATCCTTTTAGCTGCAGTTCTGTAGCTCGCTTGGTTTCGCTGTCGGTTATGACGTTCGTCGTATTGTTAACGCGAGACCAGGGAGCTACTGTACAGTTCCATCCTATGCGCGTTACCCTATTTTACCAACCTGAAATCAGGTCGGGATGTAAACAGCCATTTTTAGCTCCGCTGTCGACTTTGTCGAGCGCAGCTTATCATATGAGTGATTGTCCGTCGTCGTCCGTCGTCTGTCGTCCGTGTCAATGTTTTACATTTTCGACTTCTTGAAAACTAGAGGCCTGAATGCTTTGATACTTGGTGTATATGTACTTTGGGTAGACCTCTCTCAGATTTGTTCATTTCATGATCATATCTTCAATTCTCTAATTTTGGTGAATATTTTTGTCATTATTGGTAAAAAGTGATATTTTCGACTTCTTGTTAAAAACCAAAAGTTCAATTGCTTTGATATTACATATATAGGTACTACATGTAGAGCTTTCTCAGATTTGTTCATTTCATGATGATATCTTAAATTCTCTAATTTTGGTGAATATTTTTGTCATTTTTGGTAGAAAGTGATATTTTCGACTTCTTGTTAAAAACCGCAAGTTCAATTGCTTTGATATTACATATATAGGTACTACATGTAGAGCTTTCTCAGATTTGTTCATTTCATGATGATATCTTAAATTCTCTAATTTTGGTGAATATTTTTGTCATTTTTGGTAGAAAGTGATATTTTCGACTTCTTGTTAAAAACTGTAAGTCAGATTGCTTTGATATTACATATATAGGTACTACATGTGGACCACTCTCAAATTTGTTCATTTCATAATGTCAAATGATATCTTTAATTTTCTAATTTTGGTGAATATTTGTCATTTTTGGTAAAAAGTGATATTTTCTTCTTGTTAAAAACCACAATCATTTATGGTCAAAAATGATATTTTTGAATTCTTGTTGAAAACAGCAAGTCCCATTGCATTGATACTATGCATATTGGTCATTTTCTAATGATATCTTCTGTTCTTTAATTGAAATGTGCATTGCTAACAGCGGAGCTATCTCAGCCGAGAGGCTGCTTGTTTTTATTATTTTCGCCTATAGCTCCCTGGTTTCGCCTTAATAACACGACGAACAAAATGACAGCGAAACCAAGCGAGCTACAGAACTACAGCTATGATTCCTTTCAAAAAGACATCACACAAACTGGGAAATAACATTTTTGCTGTTTCCCGTATTTGAAATAGAATAAATCTCGGTCAGTGGTACGAAAAATATCATTATTTTTATACTTTTTTATAGTTTTGAATGTTATGGGGAATTACAAAAGTTGAAAATCCAGTGAACAGAGTTCACCTGAGAGCTGAAAATAATCAACGCAAAGCATGAGAACCTTAAGAAAGGTCCATGTTCAAAGTGGGTTAGAATTCATGAACTATAACAAATGGAAAGCAATAACAGTACGAAACATGTAATGTATTTAGTTTATACCGCAAAGGGATGGGGTAGCACATAAACCCTCTGTAAGTATTGTCAACATTTAGTAGCAGTGACCTCCGGTAAACTTCACCCCATAAAACGTGCGCACGTACACGTCACGTAGACATATTTCTACGATGCTGACATTGACTATACTCAATTTATCGTAATACCACATTGTAATATAACCATATTTGTACACAGAGTGTCAATTTATAGACGATTTGATTAATATTTAGTTACTTACAAACGCCCGACTTCGTTGCCACTGCAGCCATTTTCTTTGCCGGTGCCGAAGGGCATTGTGGGCATGAATATTACCGGATATAAGCGAAAACCATAAGTTAATCATAATTATGACTATAAAACTCAAAAAATAATTTACTTTATGTTTTCTAGGTGAATAAGATAACTAATTTATAATTTTGAAACTAATATTTGGTTTATATTTATATTTGAGGTGCAAATCGCATTTATTTGGCAAGCTGCCTTTAATCTAGCATATATCGTCCAGTTAGGGGGCTCTTTCATGAAGCAATAATTTTCCCGAAAACAGAAGTTCGCAGCTTTGCGTCATTTTGTATCTATTGCTATTTGTGTATAATAACTATACCTGAATTACTATGGCAACGCCTATCCTCACAACAAGGTAAATGTATCTTATTCAAGTCGCTGCAAAATATGATTGACGTCGACTTGACCACATTTCGTGATACGGAAATGGAACAGTTGTGGCGTATACTTATATATTGAGAAAAGGGGCGGAACTTTTGAATTTGGTTTTCACCTCACATGTGAACAGTACTTGTCCAATATCATAATAAGACAGCAAACCTGTATTGAGGCGACTGAATTTGATTCAAGTCACTCAGTAACGCGCAGTCTGTACGTGAATCAAACTGGTGGGTGCACAATTGTGACATTTCTGTAATTTAGAAACTTTGGCACATTTTAAAAAACAAAATTGCAAAGAAAAAATTCTGCTCCTTCCAGTTCCAATAGCATGGATTTTTAACTAATTTAGTTCCATCTTTATAGGGAACAACTTTCTCTTGCGTGACACTATATTTTGAAAAAATGAACTAAATATTACACAATTTAAAATTGCTATTTTGAGGACAATCCCATAGAACACCATGACAAAGAATTATCGCATTTTTAACCTATCTAAGGTATTTCTAGAAATATTTTAAAATACATGTAATGCAAGACTTTATTTATTTTTTTCTAAATACATTTCAGTGTAAAAGACTAGATATAATAATTTTTTTTGATATTCAAATACAAATAAAATTACAAATGAATTTATAGATCTCAACGTCTTTGGTATATAAGAAATAAACAATTTTGGTAAGAGTAAGGGACGACGTCAAAAGATCGATGTCGGATAAAAAACTTAATTCCTTTAGTTTTTTTCCAACCCCCCCTACCCCCCACTGAAACTTAATTGATAAATATTGGTCATGGCGTCAGACGACATTAACCATTAAATACAAATTGATAATCGGACAGTTTTGCATAGCAGTTGGTTGTCGGGAGGGTGTAAAAAGATTTTACAAATGCACCTCATTATACGCACAGATTTACACTCGAACCAAACCATTTTTCCTGTTGTTTTTTTTTTTCCTTTTTCAGTTATTTCTGTCCATGATTGGATAGAAAAAAAACGAACTACAAATACTCCAAGATTTTTTTGACTACATTAAAAAATAAAATCGTTTTTGTAGGATGGAAACTTTTTGAGGTCAAAACCCCCCACCCCCAAACTAAAGGAAATAAGTTTTTTATCCGACATCGATCTTTTGACGTCGTCCCTAAAGTCTGTGAATTTATTGATAAAATAAAAAGATTAGTCCATTTTTGACTATAGGGGGTGCAATCAAGGATGAAATGCTTTGCACCTTCTTAAAAAGTGAATTTGTGGTACCACATTATGGTCTCTTTTAATTCGTAAAGGTGTAGGCACTAATTGTGAATGAAAAAGTAATCCTGATATGATATGATATGTATATGATATATATGTGATATGAGATATGATATTATAGAATTTTATTCGGAACGTTAGGAACGTACCAAAGACACCTTGAGTAATGTCCTATAATAACAACATTCGAGACAACAAAACTTACAGAACAGGAATACAGAAAATAAATTTTGCAAAGATGCTAAGAATGAAAAAATCATTACTTGACAAAATATTAAGAAATAATTCATGCATGCTAAAATCTTCCAGCTTTGGGGCACAGATGTATAGAGCTGCAACGAATCTAGATCTTTGTTCTTTGATTTGGCAATTATTACAAAATAAAATGTAATGTTTCTCATCCCTTAATGCATTGCATTCATGGTGATTACAAGTATCCAATATAACTGGATTTAACCTAAGTCACCCAGAACTCTGTATGTTGTTCGCTGTTTTGAAATCATGGTAATCTGATATCAATATTGCATTATCAATATGTTACAAAAACAATATCGCTAGTTGGGTTGCTTATGCCAGTTTTCTTTGTGATCAATGAATTACTTTTTGATACATGATTTCTCCAAGTCACATGTTCATTGATTTCAATTCCAACAAATGTAGCAGATTCAACCTCAATTATGTATGAGTTGTGATGGATAGAGATAAGGTTCATTCATTGATGCACACTGCCACTTAAAAATAATAAAATTAGTTTTAGAACAATTTATGGTTAGCGAGTCATTCAAGTGAATATTAACATTTGTTAAATCTGTCCCTGGTGGATAACTGTGGAAAAAGGTTGGAATCATCAGTGATTAACAAAAATTCAAATAAGAACAAAGTTTGTATTCATTGATTTTCAAACAAAATCTGATGTAGCATATTTTTGAAAACATGTTAGTACATTATAAACTACAGGGAAAAAATGTAATATGGCAGTTGTGGTTGTGAATGCCCAGAAACTTATGTAATACGGTAGAAAACAATGCACCAAGAGGCGTTCTTTTTAAACGTTGTCACAGTTGCTCCCCCTGTATTCTATAATGATTTGATTTTTGACTCCCGTGTGCGAAGCACAAAAGGGAGTCTTTGCAGTTACCCTGTCTGTATGTCTATGTCTGTATGTCTGTATGTATGTATGTATGTATGTATGTATGTATGTATGTATGTATGTCACTTTTTTTGTTCCACCGTTATCTCAAGAACCACTAATCAAATTTTGGTAAAACTTGGTACATAGATGCTCTGGGATAATGCGCAGAGTTGATTAGGTTTTGGTAAAAATCTATGAATATTAATTACCTAATTTGCATGATAATTAGCTGATTTTTAGCTGTTC